ATGAAAAATTCATAGTATTTGAATATTGTGTTTTTGAAATATGAAGGAATTCGTGTATAGATGCCTAAAAATCAACATGTTTACTATGTGCTAGAGATTAGGCAATATCCAAAGACTTGTAATGAATTTATAGTTGGATTTTTGTATGAAAGTAGTCAAAGTTATAAGTTAACTTGTAAAAAATTTAGAAACTAATTAGACAATTAGATTAGAAGTTATTGAATGATATATATATAGAAGAAATTTCCACAAGAATAGAAATAAATTTAGGATATCTAATCACATTTTGGGTACTCTTGTGCACCTTAGACTTGTATATTTGATGTATTTATCTTCTTGAAGATAAACTATAAATCATATTTGTATTTTATAATCTTGCAACTTAATTGAGTGATTAGTAGCATCGAGAGGCTTAGCACTTTTTTGAAGCAACTTTCTCTATTATGACAACAAATTAATATATTTAGTCCAATAGTTATCTAGATAATATAATTAGGTAGAAGTAGATTAAAATAAATAGATTGATAATATCTTATAGAAAGGCTTCTTAAAAGTTTTATAGATGTGGTTTTGACTCTATATATGTTTATAGTTGATTGGTAGATTAGAAACTTAGCCAATAAATTAGCCATATGTTGCATATATTGCATATGTTGGTAGCTTTTGATACAAGCTAATTATGTAGCGCACATATAAAAAACACATTTTACAAGTTAAAATGTGTGTCAAAGGTCCTATAAAATATTTCTATATAGCCTCTAGTTAGATAGTATATATAGAAGTAAAAGTGAAGCCTTCTTCATTATTTTCAATGTCTTTTTAGTCTTTATTCTTATTTCAAGACTTTTTAATCTTCTTGTCTTTGGCAATAGTCATTCTAGTTTAATACTATACCATCTTTGAGTGATTTTTTAATCTTTTCAAGTGGCATAAGAATATATTAATTTTTTACTCCTTTGAGATTCATGTCCTTGGCATTTTCTCAACTATTTTTATTACCAAATTAATCATGGTTATTTGTTCCTATGGATTTTAATACCAATCTTTTAATTTCAAGTTCTTGTGATTTTATATTTATGAAAATTTATTATTAAATCAAAATTGTATATTTTATGTCATATAAAAAAATTATCATAAGTAAATAATGGACAAAGTTATTTCTTTGTAATATCTATTATTATCATAGATTATGTAAAGATATTATATTAAAAAAATACTTAATTTATATTCAAATTTAAAAATAAAAAATTAAGATATTAAAAATAGATATAAAACTATCATTGATTTTTCATCAAAAAATCAATGGATAAATTTAATAATTAAATTAAATATTGAAACTATATTTATAATGTACCATAAATTATTATAAAGATAATTGGATACTTATTTTATTATTAAAAAATATTATTTATTATAATAATATATATTCTTCAATATAAAGTTCACCATTTTATATATTAATTTTATTTATTATTTATAGTTTGATATTTTTGAATTTTTAAAATTTAATAATATTCAAATACAAGTATTAAAATTTGTTTTAAAAATTTCATACAATAATGATTTAAAAATTAAATGAAGCTCAAAGATTAAAGATTCAATATGTTTGATCATTATGTAAAGATTCATTATATTTTCTATATATCTTTTTTTAAACCATAAAAAATAATGCTTATACTAAAAAGAAGACAATTTCCACCTCCACTAGTTAAAGTTGACAACAATTAAAAATTTAAGTAAAAAAGACTTGATTATGAGGCAATACAAAAATCAATTGGAATATCTTGTACATTGGTATTGATATAATATAAATAAATACACATGGAAGCTATAAAAGAATCTAACAAATTCATCAAATTTTGTATTTGATTTTCATTGAAAACATCCATAAAAACTAAGGACTAACTATTGAAATTAAGATGGTATTAAAAAATAAGAAAAAATATTTGAAATTTCAACTTATAGAATTTTTTTATAAATGTAGAGAACCAACATCTAATAAATTCATCTTAAAAATTATTATTTGCAAATTTGCCTAATAAAATACTTAAATTGTCTCAATTCGGATGCTATTGCAATTGTGATGAAGATCTTCAATACATACATGTTCTTCTTAAAATAGATGGCATGATACAATATGTTTGATACTACAATCTTGGAAGAAATTTTTAACATTTAGTGATAATATTGGAGATGAATACTAAACATAATAAAATATACAATGTATTATTTGAAAGTAGTTATAAAGGACTTAACAATGATCAAAGACTTAATATTCTTCTTGCCATGGTATGGAACAATATTGATGGTTGAAGAGATCTATCAACCACTTTTGTGGAGAAAAAATATTAGAGTTTGTTCTTTTTTCTATTTAATGGATCTTAAACCAGATAAATTTATGAAGTAATTTCACAATTTCTAATAGAATTTGTTGCATAAAAGAAGAAACAATGTCATGAACATTTATAATTACTAGTATATTTATTTATATAAGTAGTTTTAAATAGAAGTGAATAATAGTGGATTAAAATTTTAATATCTTATTGAGAAGCTTTTTAGAAATTTTGTAGATGCAAATTTGACTTTGTTCTTATTTATAGATGATTGATAGGTTTAAAATTTAATCAACAAATTAGCTACATATTGCATATGTTGCACATATTAACCACTTGTATTATAAATTGGCTATATTATATATATGTCAAAAATTTAGCTTATTCATGTATTAAAAAATAATATGTTATTATATTATATTATTTAAATATGAAGTCTTGCTTAAGAATGCACCATGTACATGTTTGTAGAAGGTAGAATGGAAATTACAACAACAAAATCTTAATTCTAATAGAATAATAAATAAATTCTAATTAAACCTTAACAATGCTAAATAAGCTTTATTCAAATTCAAAATAAATCTTAAAAAATTTACAAAAAAAACAATAAGAAATCTTAAAGGAATTGAAAAAAAAATCTACAATAAACCTCAAAAGAATCCTCAAGAAGTCCTAAAAAATATTAGAATAATTAAAAATATATCTTGAATAAATCTCAACCAAGTTCTAATTTAATACTAGTTGAAACCCTAATGGACTTCAATCAAATCCTAGACAAATCCTAAATCCTAAATCAAATCCTAGACCGAATCCAAGATCCTAAACCAAACCTTGAATCATACCCTAGACAAACCTTAAATCCTAAATCAAATCCTATACCAAATCCTAGATCCTAAACCAAATCCAAAATCAAATCCTAGACAAATTCTAAATCTTAAACCAAATCCTAAACCAAAATCTAAATCAAATCCTACATTAAATCCTACACCCTAAATCAAATCTTAAATCAAATCCTAGACATATCCTAAATCCTAAATCAAATCCTAAACAAATTCTAAACCAAACCCTAAACAAATCATAAATCTTAAACCATATCCTAGACAAATCCTAAATCCTAAATCAAACCTTAAACCAAATCCCAATCCTACTCAATCTAATCCTAGTACAATTTCAAATCTCAATATCTATCAATTGAACCGTTGATCTTGCTTAAAAATTTACACACCTTTCAAAAACTAAATTGAAAATAAACACATCAAATTTGAAGATAATTGCATTTACTAAATGTAAGAAAAATCCTAAAATCCGCTCGGGTATTAGCTGGCCTCCTACTCCAATCTAAATGTTGAACTTCTAGTATCAATATTTCCTTATCAAATTATTTAATTGTCTTCAAATTTCACATGTGTATAGAAAATCGAGTTTATTACCTTAAACTTAAATTTTATTCCAATCCAACTAATAGATTGCTAAAGATCTTAGAAACCCTAAGTGCCTTTCAAAGTCCAATTTCTGAGACCTCAACCTACTTAAAATTCAATAGTCTTCAATTCAACCATTCAATCAAGCTCAAACTTACAGCATATACTGTAGACAACTATTCTTATAAGTCTTCAAATTTCAAACCATAGATCTACTACCAAAATCACAAATTCTTCAAAACGTAATACCCTTTTTATTTCACAAACTCTTGAGTCACTCAAAATAGTTGTGACTTTGCAAAGCTCTTGCAAAGTCATTACATACTCAATTCCCTTAAAATCAATGCTCAAAGAAACCCTATCAAGTCTGCTGTCAAATTCCACTCTCCAATCTACCAAAGAATCTCCAAGTTCCCATAGGTGCTCGGTTTTGTGCCTCAGGGTCTGATTTTGACCCATGTTGATAACTGGTCCTTTTCCAATATCAAATTTTGCCCTTTTGTATTAATTTTTGTTCCAATCAACTCCTTACTTCTTCCTACATATGCTCATATTCTTTATTTTTTTAATCTATAATGTTTTTTTTATTATTTATGACCTTACAAAATAAGTAGAGCCTACTGAACAAAAAGGTAGCATTTAAACCTTTAGTTCTACTTTCTTTTGAACTATTGTTTATTTTCTAAGATAATTTGCTATAATATTTGAAGTAAGATCTTCTATAATATAATAGATTCTTCATCCCTTTCATCTATTAGTTGTGTTACATCACAACAACCTCTTTTTAAGAAGTCTTATATATAATTTCTTATATTTTAATTTATAAGGTTTATCCACTTAATTATTATTGTTGCTACATTTGAGTATAAATATATCTAAATAATAAGTTGGAAAAAAAAATAGAAAATAAAGGTATAAGAGGTAAATAAGCCTTTTCTTTGATTAAAGAGCTACACATGCTTCAAACACATGCAAATTGATTAAAAATTTTCATTTACTTTTAATAAAGATTCCATGTACAAAAAGAGATTTTTTATTACAATATTTTGTAAGCAAAAAGTAATAAATTTATTAGAAGATGTTCTTAATGACAACAATGCCTCTAAGATAGAAGTGTAAATGAAAGCTTCACTTCTACACTATAAAAACACTATCATTTACCTACACAAATGAATAAAGATAAAATAATGTGTAGGACTAACCAAGCAATCAAATATTCCTTCGCACAAGAGTTAGCTGGAGAAACCCTAATCTGGAGCGGCATTGCCGAAGCTGTGCACAGTGGTGCGCTTTCATTGCCATCAACCCAGAAATCCTCGGAGCTCCGCTGAACAATCCACGCACCCATCGCGGATTTGTGGGATTCTTTCAGTGGATTTTCCGCCCTGAACCCAGAATTTGATTTCGGTGTGTCAATCGAACAATGCTGGGGTGGCTATGATTTTGTGATCAACGTTGTGCTGGTCTTGGAGATCAGTGTTTATTTATCACTGATTCGGGAAAGGATGTGCATATTGCGATTAAACTCTGCAGTAGTGGGTTGATCTGGTTGTGTAGATTGCTGAGGGTGTTGGGTTTTGGTAAATTTTTTGGGTAGTGTGAGTGGAAGGCGAGGTCCGCGTGGGAATATTTTGTGTGAATTGCTGCGTGGAGTGATTACGATTGCGGGAATGTGGCAGATGTTGGTGTAGCTTGGTGAGCTGTTTATTAAGAGGCGTTGATGAGGTTGTTAGGTTATGCAAAAGTGCGGGGATGCAGGGAAGGACGCTGCGGAATGTTCAGTCCTTTAGGCAAACTTTGTTGTGGATGTGTAGTTTCCAAGAGAGGCTTTGGGTTGTGGATTGCAATGTAGGTGCAAGGGAGCGGCAAGCGACAGTGCTGCTGACGGGACTTGGAGGGCAATGTATAGGTGGAGAAGGTCTTGCACAATTGTATAGACCATGGTTCAGAGTATGCAGCGAAAGGATTGGTGGGTTATGTGATTTGAATGTGGTTTATAAATCGACAATAGCGTCATTAGGTTCTAGAGTGAGTGCCAGAGTGTCTTTCACCACTTTGGTCGGAGATGAGGACGATAGTGCTGAGCATTGTAGAGGCGATGATGGTGATGGTGGTGGTGGTGGTGGAGGCCTCCGTGGTACGAATGATCACGAGAAGATTGCGAGTAGATTTGAGAAGCTTCTTCAAAAGTGGAGCTCGAATACGCCATTGTTTCTGAATGATTTGCAGGTGAATTACCTTGTTGTGTCGTGACTCAAACTCTTCTGCACCCTGCTATAGGAATCGAGCACGTGAACCTGTGTAGGATCTGATGTACTCCGAGTTTGATGGTGGTATACGCAATTGCGACGTCATTCTTGTACATTGCTTTATACTTGTCATTCAATAAGCTGAGTTCTGATGTGGCTTGTTCGAATTCCAGGTCCAGTTGACGCCTGCTATTGTTTGTCAAGTATTGAAGATGATTCCAAAATCCGACGCCGCGAGGAAGTTTTTTAAATGGGCAACGACGCAACCCGGCTTTCAACACGATGTGTATACATACGCAGCGTTAATAGACTACTACGGCAAGCGTCAAAATTTCTCTGCCATGGATCAGGTTGTGGCCGAAATGAAGGAAGCGGGATGCCCTTTGAGCACGGTCACCTTCACGTCTCTGGTGGTTTGGCATAGCCAGGTGAAGAAATTGACAGGGACCCGACGGGTGTGGCAACAAATGCTGGACTCGGGTATTAAACCTAACGAGTACATTTATTCTAGTTACATTGATGCACTTGTAAAGGGCGGATGTCACGAGGAAGCTATAATGGTCTTCAAAGAGATGCAGGAAGCTGGCTGTCGGCCCAACATATTCACCTACTCTGTCGTCATCCTTAGTCTCGTGGAATCCATGCAGCTCGAAGCCGCCTGTGAACTTTACGAAAGAATGACGAAGCTCCAGTACAAACCGAACAGCACAGCGTACTCTGTCCTCATTAGGGCACATGCCAAAGGACCAGATATGGAGAAGGCTATTTACTTCTACAGAGAGATGATAGACTCGGGCCTGACACCTTCCCAGTCCTTGCGTTCACTGCTCTCTGAGGCTTTGACGAAACAAGGGCGGTTGAACGAAGCAGAGGAACTGACCCAAATCAGTGCAGCCATGGCTGGGGAGAAGCTCAAGAGCAAAGAGCTGGAAGCCGTCCTTCATGGCAGTCTACCCAGGCCAGAAAGACTCGCAGAGCTCCTGCGAGACTGGGGACCCGAAACGGAACTTGCGCTGGAGAGAGTTAAGCTAAAGCTCCGACACCCTTATCTTTTGAATGTGTTGACCCTTGTGAGCGGTGAGCCAGAAGTTGCATGGCGGTATTTCGAGTGGGTGAGAGCTCAAGAAAATTATAACCCTACGCGGCATATGTTCACCCGCATATTGGACATCGTTGGGAAGACGGGTCATGGTGCATTACAAAAAGAGATTATCTTGGAGGCCGAGGCACAAGCTGGAGGGAATGCAGTGACGTATGATAAAGTGATCAAAAGTTATTGTCTTTCCAAGCATACAGACGCTGCTCTTCTGGTGAGACTTCTCACATCTTATTCCTCACTTGCGGGTATTTGTTGAATCTCTTATTCCCTTTGAATTCTGACGTCAAGTCTGCTCTATTTCGAAGTCACCGCAACAGGGATTAATATGCATTTCAACTCATTTTTAAAGCTTTGTGACGTGCAGGTATTTGAACGCATGAAAGAACAAGGTATTCAGCCAGACGCCAACGTATACACCACACTAATAGATGTGCTTTCAAGAACACGTGGCCATACGCAGGCTATGGAGATGTATGCTGAAATGGTGAAAGCAAAATGCAAGCCTACCGTCGACACCTACACAGCAATTTTACACAGCCTGGCAAGATCTGGGAGAGTGAAAGCTGCGATCACCTTATTTGAGAAGCTGCCATCATTCGGTGTTCCTCCCAGTATTGCGACCTACACTATCTTACTGAAAGCGTGCCTTAAAGCGGATGAATTAGAAACGGTCTTAAAACTCTATGCTGGGATGCGAAGAGATGGACTTACTCCTTCAAGGGCGATTCATAGAATGGTTACCAGAGGTCTTCATGCCGCAGGAATGCATGACGAGGCAGATGCATTGTCAGAAGTCCCTGTCTATTTCCCAGACGCTAACAGAGGTGTTTCATATAGAACTCCAAGGGCTCGTAAGAGTATGACAAGCATCGTGAGTAGTTACTATGAGTAACAGACGTTATTGATTGATGCAGACTACCACTGTGTAAGAGGCTTATACCTCATTTCAGCTGTGTTTTTTCAAAGGTATTCGTAGTCCCAGCCTTGCATACAGTACCTCGTATCATGCACTACAAAATGGTTTGGCTGTGAAACGACTAATCGCACAATATCCTTCAGATCTACACATGTACCAAGGCTCGGAAACATTACTGGCCGGGCAAACAAGGTGATGTCAAATCTGGTTCCTAGTTTAGTCACAAATCTTTCATCTTGTAGTCCAAATCGCCTACACAGGTAACTTTGTGGTTTTCAACACTATTGCCTCGTCCCAATCAAGTTCATGTATCATCTTAAATTCTTACAGATAAAATTTTATGTATCTTTGATAGTGCCTTAAATAGTTAAATGAGTAAAAATTGAAATTTAATAAGATATCTTGCTGAGATAATGTATGCACATCTCATTTATTTTTTAAAGGCTATTAATATCTTTGTATATAGTCATTCAGATAAAATAAAAATAAAAACAAAACTACAAAAATCGAGATCATCAAAATATAAGCTATCTAATTTAAGGATTATTTTTGATATTTTTATTTAATTATTATCTTGAATCAAATGAGACCTTAGAATACATTGGAAAAAAATAATTTTTAAATAAAAAGTGTTTTTGAATAGTATTTAATTTTCTAATTTAGAATTTTTAAAAAATCATAAAAATAATTTGTGATACTTGCATATCAAAAAAAAACTACCATAATATTCTTTATAATTATAAAATAATAAAAGTAGACAATACAATATATAATAAATTTCATTTCAAACATGTACAATTTAAATTATTTATAATAAATAATTTTTTTAAAGCACATGTTAATCTACACGGAGTAGTGGCTATTAGTAAGACACACTTTTAAGTTCCCTTGTTCATACACAACTTGATGGATTGGGATCCATTTATTTAATCCATAAGCTCATAGCATCTAATATTGTGTTGAAAAAGCAAAACTTATGAATTTAAAATTTTCATATTAAAAAAAATTATAAAATGACATAAAAAGCATATAATTCTTATAAATTAGAGATGAAACTTATAACTTAATTTTATATAAATACAATGACATTTGATTTGAAATAAGAATATTAGGATACAAATAATAATTTAATTAATTTGATAAAAATCACATTATAATTATTAAATATATAAAAATATATGTATAAATAGATTTTATTATTAAAAGTCTCTATTGAGATTTTTAAAATAAAAATATAAGATTACTTTTGATAAGCTTGTATTTATAAAGAACTTACATTCAAAAAAAATGTATTAACTAATGAAGAAGAATTTTAATATAATAAGTATATTCAAATATATATATATATATATATATATATAACTTCATGATTATAAATAGATATGATAGAAAAAAATCAATCAATTAGTAAAATTAAGATATTATTTTTAATTACAACTTAATTATGCTACAGATATCTATTTATTGTAATTATTACATAGGAAATATGAATAGGTAAGTAAAAGTACATTAATTTCATAATATCTTCTAAATTAGCTTTTTAGAAGCTTTTTAGACATTGTTTTGACTTTACATATATTTGTAGTTGATTGATAGGTTAGAAACTTAATTAACAAGCTACTCATGTGCCACATGTGTTGACAGCTTGCAGAATAAGCTAATTATATAGCGCCCATATAGAAAACTTACCTTGCAAATTAAGATACATATTATGCAAAGTCAATATATTTTTGGAGGTCCTACAGAACGTCGACACACAGATCTTAGGTAGATAGTATATATAGATGCAAGAGTGAAGTCTTCTTCACTCTTGTCAACTACTTTTTTGCTTCTAGTCTAGATTCAAGAGTCTCTAGTTTTGTTGTCTTTTAGCAATTACCATTCTAGTTTCTTTCTTATATACATACTAATTTATTTTTATTTTGTCACTTTTTTTTACATAGATTTCATAAGTTTATGCATCTTCTTTCAATTCATGCTCTAATAGATTGATAAGAATACACTTACAATATTAGAGCTTGTCTTTTCTTAATTAAGAGTGGATTACTTTTTTTTTCTTGATAAGATATAAGAGTGTTAGAAGTTGTAGATTACTCTCTTCTAAAATAATATTATTCTTGGTATTTTCTTTGTTCTTAAATCCTCTCTTCTACTTGTCTAAAGTAATATTAGATTTTTTTTTTCTAAGTATTATCATCGCAAAGCTTTTTGATGAAACAAAACTAGACTATCTCAAAAACTCAAGATCCTTTTAATCCACAATAACATAAAGCCTCATCACAAAATAAAACAAAATAAATTAGAACAAAATTGAATGGAACTAAGTAAAATAGAATATGGAAGACAAAAATGAGCATATAGAAACAAAACAAAACAAAATAGAACTAAATAGAAAGATGCAAAAGCAAATTTTACTAAGAGAAAGAATCCAAAGCCATACTTAATCAGATGCTTCAAAAGGTCCTGGCCAATCCTATTTTTATCTTCTCTTACCACCTATGACTTTCTAGAATATTTTTAGGTGGTAGATCCCACCTAAATAACCACCTTAAATTTTTTTTCTAGAATGTTCCACGGTGGATCCTATCTGGTTCATTAATCTAATTCCAATTCTAGAAACTTCCATAGTTCTAACTATCTATACAATTATCTTATCTATATCCTATTATACTTGAAATGAAGAGTGTAATGGCACAAATGTGAGAGCAATTGAAGGAGTTGATACTTACAATACATCAACTCAATTTATTGCTACCAAAAGCAACAAAAATGGAAGAAAGTGAAGATACAGATATGATTGGAATTGTTACAACATCTACATTAAATCACATTCCTTCTCCTATAGTAGAATACCCTTTCAGTATTAGAGAATCGAGAGTTACCTTATCTGAGAAGTTTGATTCTACAAGATCTAAGTTTTGAGGATTTATCAATCAAGTACAACTTATAATTGAACTTCAACCCCAAAGCTATCCAACATTGAGATCATAAGTTAGATTCATTGATACTTTTCTTTTAAGTTTGGTATTATCAAAGTTTTCATCTTTTTTTGAATGACGAGATCCAATATTGGATAATTTGGAAGCTTTTATGCAAGAGTTTTGATCTATGTATAGAGAATATGATGCAATTTGTATTGCAACTAATAAAATTTGTATCTTGTAACAAAGCAATTGATTTGTGACATCATATACTTCAAAATTTTAATAACTAGGGATTGATATTAAGTTGAATGATGTTGCTATTATTAGCTAATTTTTCTATAGATTACAATATGAGATAAAGAAATTGATACTCAACTTACTTGATTCTTAGACATTGAATCAAGCAATTGACTTTGTTGTGAAGTATGACAATCAGCTATTTGAGTTTCAATTTGAGAATCATGTAAGAAAACCTCCATATTATTATAATTCAATGGCAATATTAATAATCTCTCAATCTAAACATTTGGAAGTAAAAGATGTGCAACTTGATGCGGTATGTTTTAAATCTCTTATTGAATAAGAAAAATCTTGTTGTCATCAAGAAAGACTGTGTTTATATTATAAAGAAGCTAAGCCTACTACTCAACATTGTCCAAAGAAACGACGCAACTACAAATAAGGAGTACAATTGTCAAAGATGAAAAAATATCAGAAAATAAATTTATCCAGGTACAATTGGGATTGTGGGATTGAAATCTTCTACAAATGAAGGTCGTATGCTCTCTTTATAACCTTCTCTTTTTTTTTACAGTAGATGTGCATTTAAGACCTAATAATTACAAAGTCTCTGCTTTAATAGATTGAAGAGTCTCAACTTGTTTCTTAGATAAAGAGTTTGTTAAAAGCCATAGAATATTGTTAGTACAAAAAACTAAACCCATATATGTAGAAGTCATAGATGGCAGTCCGTTATCTTCTAGAGATATTAATCATAAAACACTTCTTATGGATGTAACAATAAATGGTCATAATAATTATGTAATTTTTAATATAATTAGGTCTCCCTTTAATCTAATCATTTTAAGTTTATTGTAGCTAAAAAAGTATAATCCTCTAATAGATTGGATTTTTTGCAAACTTAATTTTTCTTAGAGCATTATTAAAAGTTTTATAGAAAGCCATGAATATAGTGTAGCCAAACTCCTACTCGTAGGTGCAAAAGCTTTCTTGCATGCTACAAAAGAAGGATTGTCTTTTGTCATTTATGCCACACCCATTTTTAATGATGGAAAGACTTCAAATAGTACTCTAAATCAATATCAAGATTTTTAAGATGTTTTTGAGAAGAAGAATGTACATATTCTTCCGGAGCATCGTCTATATGATTGTTCAATCGACCTTAAAGAGAGAAGTCAACCACCATTTGATCCAATCTATGGTTTATCACAAAATGTCCTATATGAGCTTCTATCTTATTTGTGAAGAAAAAAGATGGATCATTGCAAATGTACGTAGATTATTGAGAACTCAATACGATTACCATCAAGAATAGTTATCCTTTACTCTTAATATGTAGACTTCTTGATCAACTAAATTAAACTAAGATCTATACAAAAATTGATCTATAATGAGCATACAACTTGATTTACATTAAAAAAAGAGATGAATGAAAGAATATATTTTAAACAAGGTATACATACTTTGCATATAATATTATGCCTTTTGGACTCAAGAATACACCAATTGATTTTCAACATCTTATGAATGATGTTTTTTGTGAGTTTTTAGATGATTTTGTTGTCTATTACTTAGACAGTATTTTAATCTATTCTAAGAATATAAAAGAGCATGAAGTTCATATTTGTTGTGTTTTACAAAAACTTACAGATGCAAGATTGTATGCCAAGTTGGAAAAGTGTGTATTCTACTCCAATTGACTTCTTAGGATATATCATTTCCAACAAAAGACTTATGATGGATCTAAAGAAGGTTCAAACTATTATAGATTGGAAGATTTCAAAAACAATAAGACATGTGCAATGCTTTTTGAGCTTTGCTAATTATTATCAGATCTTCATCAAGAACTTTTTTTCAAGTTGTGGCTCTTCTTACACGTCTTATATGCAAAGATAAACTTGATTGGAATAAAGAAGCTAAAGCATCTTTTGAAGCCTTGAAGTCGGCATTTATTTTTGTACCAATCTTGTATTGTATTGACTTTTTTAGATATTTTTTATGGAAACAAATGCATTAAATTTTGATATAAGTGATGTTTTGTTGCAAATAGGAAAAGATGACAAGCTCTATCCAATAGCTTTCTATTCCAAGAAATTCTCAATAGCAAAGATTGACTATGAGATCTACAAAAAAGAACTTCTTGCAATCGTGGATTCTTTTTAAGAATTGTGTCATTATTTAGAAGGTACTTTTAATCTAGTCACCATATATACAAATCACAAGAATCTCAAGTATTTCATATTAGCATATATTTTGAATCATTGCCAAGCTCTTTGGAGCATGACTTTGTCAAGATTTGAGTTCAATATCACATATTAGTTAAAAAAATAACAAGGTTTGTCAAATTTTCTTTCTACACATTCTTATCTTGCACTAAAAGAAGGAGATTCATCTTTTGATCAACAAAGGATAATTTTATTAAAGTGAGAATAATTTCATCTTCGAGGAGTGAAATCAAAATTGATTGTTGATTCAACTTTTCTTAAGTAAATTCAATCAAATATGTTCTTTGATCTTCTTATTCATGATATTAGGAATACTTCTTTTAAGTCTTGTGATACTTTTAAGTTTTAATTCAAGAATAATCTACTTTATTTTAAACGACACCTATATATTTCAAAAAGAAAAGCACATTTACGTCTTCTTCAAGTACGTCATGATTTTCTAGTAGTAAGATACTTTAGATATAACGAAACTTTGGAACTAATATCTAAAGATTTTGGTGGTCGCAAATGTAGAAGGTTGTAAAAGACTTTATTCAATCATATAATATTTATTCAAGGTCAAAAACTATTTTTCATTGACCTCATAGACTTCTTCAGCCATTACCTATTCCAAAACAACCATAGTATTTTAATTCTATGGATTTTATTATAGATCTTGTAATCTAAATATTTTTATGATTTTATATTTGTGATAGTAGATCGTTTTACCAAAATGACATATTTTGTATCATGTACAAAATCTATTAAAGGTGAAAAAATTACCAAGCTTTTCCTTTATAATATCTATTGATATCATAGATTACCAAAAGATATTATATCAAATTGAAACATTCAATTTGTATCAAAATTTTAAAAAATATTTTTTAAGATTCTAAAGGTTGACATAAAACTTTCTTGGGCCTTTCATCTTCAAATTGATTGATAGATAGAGTGCATAAATCTAATTTTAGATCTATATTTAAGATATATCATCAATTATCAACAAGATGATTGGATAACCCTCTTATTATTGGCAAAGTTTGCTTATAATAATACGATACATTCTTCTATGCAAAAAACATCTTTTTTTGCAAATTATGGTTATCATCCATGACTTGATATTTTTGACTTTTCAAAAGTTGATAATCCTTTAGCTTAAGATTTGACAAATTATTTGTCAAAACTACATGCAATAATGAAGGTGCAATTAAAGGAAGTTTAAGAATAACAAAAGATCAACACAAATGCCTATCAAAAGGAATAACTAAAATTTAATGTAGGTAACAAGATATGGTTATTTTGTCATAATATCAAGACTATTTGTGCTTGTGATAAGTTGGATTATTGTAAGCTTGGACCTTTCTCTATTTGTAGATAAATCAATCTAGTTATTTATTGATTACATCTATCGGAGTCAATGAAGATCCATCCTATCTTTTATGTGTCTTTTCTTGAACTATACAAGACTGTGAATATATCAAAAAAAAAAAAAAAAACAAAACAAAACAAAACAAGTCTAACCTCCTCCAATAGAAGTGGACAATAATGAAGAGTTTAAAATGGAAGAAGTTCTAGACTTAAGATAATACCAAAATAAGTTGGAATATCTTGTGTGTTGGCACAGATATGATATTAGTGAATGTACATAGGAGCGAGCAAAAAATCTTACAAATACAATAGAGAAGGTCAAAGCTTTTCATCAACAACATCCATCAAAATTAAGATGAAGAATAGCAAACCTTTGTTATAAAAGAAACACAATTCAAAAAATATTATATTTTATCTTCTACTCTTGTTAGTAGTTTCTTTATAATTGTGGCATTAAGGAGATGGAAAACGAACAACCGGTAGATTCAACTCAAGAACCATCATTTGTTAACTTATTGGATGAAACATTACAATTATCACAGCCTTCAAGACAACGTAATAGGAATGAAGATCTTTAAGAACAACATGTTCTTTTTTGAATAGATGGCAAAATACAATGCATTTGATATCATGACTTTGGAAAAAATTCTTGATATTTCGTGATTTTATTAAAAGTAGGCACAATTCTTGATGGTATTACAAATGTTTTGTTTGAAGGAAGTTACTAAGGTTTCAATATTGATCAAATCACAAGGTAGTCTTTCTATCCTATAATGGGATATTACCAATGGTTGTAAGGACCTATCAACTACCTTCAAAGGAAACAAAGATCAAAGTACATATCAAGTATAATTCACTTCACCTTAGACTTACTTAATATATGATGATTATTCATTGTAGAACTCGTTTCTAGAAGGGAGAATAATGTCATGGATATATATTTATTGTAATTATTATCTAGAGAATATAAATAGATAGAAGTAAATAAGAGTAGATTAATTTCATAATACCTTCTAAAGAAGCTTTTAGGAAGCTTCTTAGATATTATTTTGACTTTACATATGTTTGTAGTTGATTGATAGGTTAGAAACTTGATTGACAAGCTATTCATGTGTCATATATATTCATAGCTTGCAAAATAAGCTAACTATGTGGCACCCATATAGGAAACTTACCTTATAAATCAAGATACATATCATGCAAAGACAATACATTTTTGGAGGTCTTATAGAATGTCAGCACATAGATCCTATATAGATAGTATATATAGAGGGAAGAGTGAAGTCTTCTTCACTCTTATCAACTCTTTTCTTGCTTTTAATCTAGATTCAAGAGTCTCTAGTTTCTTAGTCTTTCGGTAATAATCATTCTAGTTTCCTTCTAATATACATAATTCTTTATTTCTATTTTGTCATTTTTTTTTTTGACACAAATTTCAAAAGTTTATGCATCTTCTTTCAATTCTTGCTCTTGAAAAATTATAATAGGAAAAAAAAAATATAAATGAAATCAAGTGGCAAACTGAACCTTTGATACACCCATTCATTTATGCATACATAAAATAAAATTAGTTGGATAAATTAGTGGAATAATATAATCACTAGTTTGGTCTTTTTTATACTAGATATAGAATAAATTGTTTCTTTTAGCTTTTTCAATGTTTGCAAATAATTTCATTATCACATACATAGGAGAATGATAAATAATTCCATGCTTTTAGTAAATAGATCCACTTTTGATAAAGAATATGGTAATCATGATGAATGTAATTGATTTTTATTGATTGCAAATCCTATAGTGGAGAAATGAATCTAAATGTCATTTTTTTTTCTTTTTTCTTTTTTTCTAATGAATCAATTTAATAAAAACTTGAGTCTGTATATCTATCTATCTATCAAAAACACAAATTTACAATGAAGTATCTCTATACCTATACTTAGAGGCGGTAAAAACTGTTTGATAAAAATCACTGACAAGACATTGAAAGACCCAGCTTGTGCAAATTATACTCGGTGCTGGATATTTTGCATCACAAGTAGCAGCTTGCACATCCTTGCATCCCACAAAGCTTGACACTGGATAGAATACAGCCCACACTTGAATCATATTGCATGGGTTAAGTATGTTTTCAATTGTCAGACCCAGTTTCCACTCTGGAACTGCAAAGAATGTTAATAATCTTACAAGTAGCTAATACTAGCTATCTACAACACACGTTAAAGAATTGTATTGATCCTGGTTTACCTCTCCCCGTTTGGTACCCTCACGCAACTCCCTCGACTATTAGGATCGGAAGATTGAATAAACACAGCAACAATGCACCCACCGAAAAAGTGGGTGGCACTGAGCTACTTGCATAATTTCTTAGCTGGAGTCCCATCAGAATTTCTAAGCAACTCGTAAAGTCCCTTTCATTATTTAGTGCTTGGACACTCCGACTGCTGCTGCAAGTTTGTTGAAGACTAGAACTCATCACTTCATGAGACTGCTCTAATTACTTCTCTGTTTGCAGGCAGGGAAAACAGAGCAGTAAGTCCATGGCACCCTTCACTGCTTCAAGTGGTGAGTCTGATATGGTCTGCAACACATCTCTTTTCAGTGCTTCATCTGGTCATGCCGACAACTGCTGTGAAGTGTTGAGACGATTGCAGCATTTTGCCTCCAATTTCCTAGTGGTGCACATGAGTTTCGCATCCTCAACACGATGTCAGCTGCTGTGTTGTCATGGGTTGCGTGAATGGATCCCAGTCCGTAGGGCTGTGCGAGAACGATGGACCTTGAGAGTGTGCCGCACTAACAGCCACCGCTTCCTCTAGTTCTCCGAGCCTGTCAGAGGATCCATAGCTGGGGAGAAAGCTGTCCATCTCGTAGTGAAGATGAGTACCAAACATCTCATTGCTAGTCTCACCGTGTGAAGCGCGGCTTGTGTGCAGGGCTTGGAGAAACTGATAGTGGCCTTCAATTTCGGCCGCGGGTTCATACTTGGTATCAATCTCGGCAGCCAACGCGAGCGAGTTGGAGGTGCGTTCGCGCATGCTCTTGAAAATCGAGGAGCTCAAAAGGAGACTTAGCGCTGATGGAGAGGAGCTTTTCTTGTGGGGATTGGAATGCAGGACACCTAGAGAAGGGAGCTGGTATGGTTCGCTTGCTTGACCCGGCCAGGCTTGATGACTTTGCTGTCCCTCTGGCTGGGACTGGTCGTCCGGCTGGGAAGGGCCATCATCCCATGAGGTAGGACTTGCACCTCCTTCCTCCTCTTCTTTTGGGTTTAAGGTTGTTGCTGCAGTAACCGGAGCACTTGCTCCAAGGCCCGAGCTAGTGGTAGCAGTCTGAACTTTCTCGGGACGCAACCACGTGATGTACCTGGAATGTGATCAAAACAAATGACATTAACCGAATTGGACGCAAAAGAACAAGGATCACCTATCGAAGTAATAGAATGCAGCAGGTACTAAGAATTGTGTGTGTGACAGAATTGAGTCTGATGGACGTAGAAAAGGAGTTGCTAGATCGAAGAGAACCTGGTGAGATCAAGATTTGTGCCGGCGCTGAAGCCTCTGTAATCCAAAGATTGAATGTCAAAAGCAGTGGCATCTTCTTGCGACATTATGCTGCTGGGATTGCCCGTGTATGAGTACTTATGGCCAAGTATGTGGCCAAGACGGGCTTCCCATTTCCCCATCGAAGGGTGGCGCGTCATCCCTTTGAACTTGCTCCCACCGCGTAAGAACCCACTGCCTTTACGTCTCAGGGATGCCAAATAGTCTTCTCTTGATATCGACTGCATTTCCTCGACATCCCGAGCATAGTCTGTGACGGGGAAATTGATCAAGGTTCCCGGGCCCCAGTACTTGAGAGCTGCTAGGTCATAGGCTCTGGCAGCTGCTTCCTCGTCGTCATAAGCTCCCAAGTAAACTTGCTTACCTTTCTTATTCTGAGCCTCATTCCAGGTGCTCTTATCCCACAAGTGCGCCTCGTAACGTCCCGTCCAACGATGCCGGGTCACACCTCTGTAAATCGAGCTGCGCTTTCCGGGGACACATGCTGGCATTTTGCTTATCCTCTCCTTGGCGGAAGACCCTCCTCGCTCACGACGACTGCGTTTGATCCCTCTATGCTCCTGCACTGGTGATCCTACGGGAGATTCCAGCGTAGCAGGTCTCTGAGGAGTGATCTCCTCGTTCCCTGACTCGGAGGGCCCTTTCATTTTCAGCTTCATGGGCTCCATGCCGCACTGAGAATGGAAATCCCCACCTGCAGGCTTGTAATCCGCGAGCCTCACTCTCTCAAGCTAGAGAACACCGAACAACTCTACCCAATTCCCACGAAGAAAATAGAAGTGCAATGGTCCGTTCGCCCCCGATGTCCCGTGCTCTCATGCTCCCCGCCAATCGCCCTCGGGCAGAGAATTCTAATCCACGACAGCTTCAGGAGCTATCGATTCAGAACCTCAAAAAAACACCGTGCACTCTCGACTACCAAATCCTGCTTCATCACAATTCAACATGATCGACGTCTCTAGACAACTCATTTTCTACAAGCATTTCAACGTGGTTCAAAGCTGGAGAATTTTCAGGAAAGAGAGAGGATGGATGCAATTTTAGTGCAACTCCGACACACACAGAGCAACGCAGGTAGAGGGAACACGAATCGGCAGGAAGGTGGGTGAAGCAGGAAAGACACAACAAAGTTGTGAGACGAGTGAAGTGACCACAAGGAGGAGAACGTTCAGCTGAACGTGCAACACCGTGAGTGAGAGACGCGACCGTTGTCAACGGACAAGTCTTTCTAATCTCATTACTAATATGATTAATTTATAATCACGGTTATCGCCTCCATTACTTGGACAGATGGTAATAGGAACCTGTGCTCCACACATTGCGCCAACTTCCATGTAGGGTTTTGTGCGTGGAATGCACCCAAATTTGGGGATGAATGAAAGCCTTTGTAAACCCTAGATACTGCTCTCTCTTAACGGGGTGTTGCTCTTTCTCTGGCTCGGCCTGGACATTTACAGTTCTGCGCCTCCGCCTTCCTCAAGTTCCTCGACGTGCGTTGGCACAGAGTAGCAACCATGGTGTGTAGTTTCCCCTCCCTCTGCTGTGTGCACAAGCTGGATTTTTTTCTTTTCATTTTCTCGGTTCTTTCTTTCTGTCATTTTCGTTATGGTTTGGTTGTGCACATGTTTGAGATTTTAGGGTTTGAAGGTATGTGACCCTGGTTGGTTTGGTTTTGTTGAAGCGGCCAGTCGCTCGTTGCGGGTGAGGAGTTCCAACATATTCTTCGTGTGCTCAACACGAACGTCGATGGACGTCAGAAGATCATGTTTGCCCTGACCTCCATTAAGGGGGTTGGGCGTCGTTTTGCCAACTTGGTTTGCAAGAAGGCCGATGTCGACATGAGCAAGAGGTATGTGATCTTGTTTGATTTTTGTATTTTATACCGGTATTTTTATTTTTATTTTTATTTTTATATTTTTTTCTTGCCTTCGTCTCTGCCCACACGTCCCTCCCAATCGTAGTAGTGCATTGGTAGTTTGCAAATCTGTGGTCCCTTCTGGCAGTTGTGGTTAGGATTTGGGCATTCTGAGATTAGGAATTCTGTGAGTGAGTCCATGATGAACGTTTTCAGTTGAGAGAAACCGATGACAATCACTCTTATTCAGCATCTCGGAATTGAATATAGGGCTGGCGAGCTCTCCGCAGCTGAGCTCGAGAACCTGATGGTCATCGTTGCTAACCCTCGTCAATTCAAGATCCCAGACTGGTTCTTGAACAGGAAGAAAGACCACAAGGACGGTCGCTACTCCCAGGTTGTTTCAAACGCCTTGGACATGAAGCTGAGGGACGACCTCGAGCGACTGAAAAAAATCAGGTTGGTACAGTGCATGCTTCCTGTTTTGACCTTAGCGCTGGAATCAAGCTTTTTGTGATATATATTTTGTTCTTAAATTCAGAATTCAATTTCATGCAAGCTGTAAGAATTAGGGCTTGCATGTTATAGCTGGGTGTGCTTCGTGGATTTTGATTTTGATTTTTGTTTAGGAATAATCCTTTAGTCTCATTTTCTTCGAGCGCAATGAAGGCTCGGGCTTTTCATATTTGCGATTTTTGTGGTTCTTCCTGATAGGTTAGAGTTGATGTTGATTGATTCAGGAATCACCGTGGTCTTCGTCATTACTGGGGCTTGCGCGTGCGTGGTCAACACACCAAGACTACCGGACGACGTGGAAGAACCGTTGGTGTGTCCAAGAAGCGTTAGATTGCTTCTTATTAATTTTTGTCGATGTAGTGGGTTTTGATCACCCTTTCCGAAGTAAAACTTTAGTGCTGCAACATTCCCAATTTTCAATATTACACGCTGGTTGCTTGTAAATCAGATTTTGTGATTTTTCCATCATGAATGTGAGGGTTCCGAGAGCGACTGTGTCATTCTTTTCTCATTTTCTCCTCCTTTCTTTGTTTAGTAATCTGAGTTTGTATACCCCTGAAGTGGACCTCAAGCAACATAGGTCTGGCTTTCTTTGCGAACATGGAATAGAGAAAAAGCTAGTTAAAAATTGACGCGAGTCAGGAAGCTTTTATTTTTTACGTAGTCGTTGTAGTGGAGTGTTCAAGGCGACGGACATGTACGACAATGTGGGGAATTCCTTGTTTGAAATCTTCATAGAGATTAAGCCATGGCAAGGCCAAGGAAGAGACAGCTGTTCCTGTTTGTTGAAGGTGATGTTTTGGAAAACAAGATCACGAGGTACGTAGAACCAAGTACTGTATGTTCATGTTCTCCATGTAATGTGGTTGGGGCTTGGCGTCTTCGTATAATGCTGATTCCTGATGGATGCCTGACAAGTTGAAGAGGACTCTTGTCTTTGATATGGAGGATACGTCTACAATTCCATGGAACAGAGTACACTAGAGGAGTGTACTACAACTGACAATGGTTAGTCCTGACCAACAGTACATCGCTCATGGGGAGCTTGACACAGTTCAGTGGTGCTTCCCAGCTAACTGTAGCCGTTGGTGTAAATTACAAGAACAATAACAAACGTCCATTGCATCTGTAGTAACTGCCTGGGACAATACGGTACGATACGGTACTATCCTACAGTCCAGGTTTGGTGTTGAAGAGTAGAATGCAGGGAGATAAGAATCTGCAAGTAGTGCCAGATAATGCAGTTGGTATTTCTTTCGGCATATCCTTCAATATCTTCTCCGCTTCTTTTAGTAGACGGAACGTGAAATGTCCCCCACTCTTTTACAGGAGATTTTGCGACTGATATCTCATTATGATGTTCTTTTCACCATTTTGTTTTTTGTTTTGTTTTTGTATTTTTTGTTTTTTGCTTTTTTTTTCTTTTGTGACTTCATAGGAAGGATGAAGCACTAAGTACGTCATCTGTATTGATTGAACCTTGAACAGAGTGAAGACTTGCATACCTAGAGATGTCTGTACGTCTTAAATCAGGTTCTATACGTAAAAGATCACCGCTGCAAGGCTCTCAAGGAATTCTGTGATTTCTGCGAGGAAGTGGAGAATGTAACTTTCTACCTCCTCCTTTCAAGTTAGAAACCTGACCACATTTGGGTGTGAAAATTGAATATCTTTCTGGTCCCAGGCATGATCTCCACAGTCTGAGACGAGGTTCTGCTTCCGAGCACTAGTGCAGAAAACATTGTATTGTCACCGGAACGTGAATCTGCACCCAGCAATCAATGGTTAGGCCTGTCATGAACTTTTTAAGGTGGCGAAATATTCAGCAACATTTTCTACTGCCGTGCACTCAATAGAGCAATGTTTTGACAACCTTATCTACGGGACCACATTCCAGCTTTCAGAGGATAGATGGTAGGTGCCGAGGTTAGAACTTTCGCTGTGTTGGCCTGAATATCTCTCACGAGCTTTCAATGCGGGGCAATTGCAAGTTGTAGTAGCTCTTGATTACGAAGTGTCAATGAGAAGGTGACAGAAACAGGCCCTTAAACTCGCACACCGTGTCAGTTCATGTAAAACTGTATTTAGTTACTCACAAAACTCCAGGTTTATTTGTTACTTAAAACAGCTCGATTGGCACTTAAAACTTTCTACTATCTGCGTCAAAGCATGCTCCCCCAAGTTCATCCATTTGCGAATCTATCCATCCAAAATCCTTTGCCCCATAACCATCTCCCCCCTATTTCCAGGCACGGCCTTCGGGTCGCAACCCACTGGAATCCCGCGGAATGACTTGGCGATAGGTACTCCAAGCTGTAACGGCTGTCGGATTCCCTCTCGTAGCATCGTGCGGTGCGAGTTGCTCCTTCCCTTATCCACGCACTGTTGCCGTTTACCTTGCCTCCGATCAAGACCCTTTCGAAGTTTTGAAAGACCGGGAACTGGGAACCAGGTGCGCCGGTGGGGAGCGAGTTGGTTCCGCAGCTGTTGGAAGGTGTGAGCGGGGTACAGCTGGCTGATGGGCCATCAAGGTGGATGAAGTCGCATCACGTTCCTTCTGAGGAAACTCTATTGGGAACTCGTTTACATAGGTTCCCGAGTAAAAGTGGGGGCAGGGGGCTCTAGTGCCCAAGAATCGGGAACATATATTTGTGGGGATAAGCTATAGTACTCCTTCCTCACGCTTTAATAGATTTGGCGTATTTCAAGGTGGCGAATCAATTTGGCGTGGAACTCTTAAATATAGGAAAAAAGTTCTATTCCAATTGGAACTCCAAATCGTTGGATATTATCATTTTTACGAAAGAAAAGGAAGAAATATATAAAATCTATATAAATTAACACGTTAATATAATATTTTTCATTATTATTATTTATAAAACACAAAAATTTTGAAATTTTCTGATGACAGGAAGTGTTTATAATGCCAATCTGAAACGTGGGTAGAGTTCTTTTTTTTTGGCACATGATGGAATTAGATGATATTAGTTCTTAATCCTACCCTAAATATTGGAATTTGTGTAGTGGTGAAGGAGCTACAACATCAATGATTGGTTGTGAATTATGATGAATTTAAGTAGATTCGTGGTATGGTAGTCGGTTTTGTGACTTTTAGAAATGAGCATGTCACCTGAAATCTAAGTCTCACGGAAAGAAAAACGTTGGGGAAATCAAATGAATAACACTCAATAGAAAAATAAAAAATAAAAAGTATTTTATTCAGAAAGTTGGGCTTGTATAAAAAAATTCTACCTATTATATATAATACTCTTCCATCTGTCTATCCCACTATAGATAAAATACGGAGGAATGGAGGGGGGGGGGGGATGAAGATTCTACGTAGCACATGTGTATTTCATGAGTCAGTGCTTATCCAAGCCCTAGAATGAGACTGCAACTTAAACAGTGTTAATTCTTTCTCATTATAGTAAATGATTTCGACACCCAATAGCATGAAGCAAGATTGCTGATTCACTCAAGGAAGAACCCACATTAATAATAGTAATAACAACTATAACAACAGATATGAAAACGCATGTCTTTGAAAATTTAATGTGATTCATATACTATAACATTTTGTTAACACAAGTGCTGAATCATTTCCAATAAAAAAAGGTTTTCAAATTTGGATCATTCCTTATTCTTTATCATTTTTAAAAATGACATTTAGGGTTAATTGATAGGATAACCTTCAAATAAAATCTGCTCATTCAATATTTGCAAAACTGTTATTTATTTTGATTATATACTATTAGTTCTTATTTTTGTTTTATTTTTTCTAACCTCACAAAGACAATCATTAATGACTATCCATTCTTAAAGATAAAATAAACTTACATCAAGTGACTCATACATTGACAATTTTATAGAATGTAATATAATGTGATATATTTTAGAAATAAGCACCTACAATTTGTATATGCAACTAAATGTTTTATAGATTAAAGTAATAAAATTGTTAGAAACTTATCTATCTCATGCAACTCATAACATTTAAATAGTATCAAAAGAATTTAAAACTAATACTAAACACAATCAGATAGATATGTAATTTTATTATTATTATTATTTAACAACCTTCTAGCTAAGAATCCAACATTTCTTAACAAAAAAGAAAATCCAACATTTTAATATATATATATATATATATATATATATGTAATGATTTCAAAGTTTTAATGCTTTGATCTTCACATCTAAAATTATGTGACATAATGAACATGGGTAATACTTTTCCAATTCAATATATAGTCTACTTTTGTTTACATCATAATATTGCAATTTTTTTCAACATTATTAAAATTTAAAAACATGGTTTTGGAAGGAATAGAAATGGAAAGTATACAAATATAACAAAAAGATGTTATTCCATGTTATTCCATGTTATTTTATGTTAAAGAATAATACATTCTATCTCATCTTTTTCTTTTATAAGGTTTTGAACTAATTTTTCTAAGTATAAAAGCCTAACTAATGAGACTTCTCAATTTCAACTAATCAAAGGACATAGAAGTTGTGACATCTCACCTTGTCCCTCAAATTCAATGACCCTCTAAGATTCAACACAAGACAAGACACATTTACAAAAAAAAATTGCAATGAAAAAAGTACAAGATATTTCACAAGAATATCAACACATCAACTCTTAGTATATATATTTATATATATGTATATTCACACATCCGTAAAAAGAAAACACTAAAAACAAACCTCTCTTCAGCCCTTAGTTTCAAGGTTTTACTAAAATTCAAAGAACATTAATTAATATTAGGAAGCAAAAAGGTGGGGGAGGGGTGTTGACATGGAGGCCATGACTTCAATAGCCCAGTCAGTCAATCCACACACCCCAATGGGCTTCGGGGCTTCAGAAAAAGAACATTCCGCACAACAACATCATCTCTATGCATCCATTCACCCCCCATTCATTCATCCCCCCGTACCTTTTTTTATTTTCACTCAATGCAATGCTTGGTAGGGGACCATTTCCACACACTCCCTTTCACACACACACACACACACACACACAAAAAAGAAAAAAAAAAAAAAAAAAAACACCTTTCTCTCGTCCAGAGATCTCAGTCTGGGGGGATGGCCTCTTGGGCGGGGGAACCAAGGCAAAGGGGGTGCTGGAATTTGAATCCCCAGGTGGATGCGGTTTCCATGGCAGTACTCACGCACAGCCTGCGGCATTTCTACCCCGAGTTGTAGTGTGCTTCTTTTTTGTCTTTTTGTCTCTCGCCCTTTTTATTTTTATTTTTTTTGTGTGTGTGTGTGGGTGGGTGGGTGATTACCCAACTCCTTCCCCCCCAATTTCCTAGCACTGAGAAAGGGGGAAAAAAGAAAAAGAAAAAAGAGTATCTGGACACCGCCTTGAAAATTTGAAACCCGCCTTCGTGACATGTCAACGGAGAGAGATGGGGGGAGGGGGGATGTTATGGCGAAGGGCGGATGGCGACGAGAGTGCGCATGTCGGAATTAAGAAATTAGTGAAGGAGAAGTGGAGAAGAAGCAACGAGGGAGCAACGTCGTGGGGATATAGTATGGAAGTGAGCACCTGGGGCGATGCCTTGAAGCCGAAGCAACGAAGCGGAGGAATTGCTCGATCGTGAGAGCGAGAGAGAGAAGTGGGGGTAGTAGTAATAAAGCGCATGCAGCGAGCCGGTGTTTCACCAACGACCCCGTCGATCGCCACTTCCTGCGCCGGGGGTCCCTTCATCCCCCTGGCAGAGACGATGCGACGATCTTCGCCGCAGGACCGGAAAGAAACGGCTGCGGAGGTAAAAGACTCTTGCACCCAGAAATAGACAAACGGACAAGGCGTGAAGCGCCACGTTGAAACTCCTGCTTCTGCTGCTGCTGTGCTAGATGCTTCGTCCATGAGGGCGATAGTTGGCGGAGACTCCGATAGACTATAGCAACGACGCATGGTGGCGGGAGGAGATCCGGTGCATTGATTGCACGCACTCAGAGAGAGAGAGAGAGAGAGAGAGAGAGAGAGAGACTGGTACTCGGAACTCGACGACGGCGGTACTGTGTGCAGGGAAGTGAAGGAAACCTCGGGTGTCGTGAGAGCTTCGAATCCGGCGTGGAGATCAGTGTTTTTTCTTTTTTCTTTTTTCTTTTTTGGTGAATTTCTTTCACGACTTAGGACCGGAGTTTCTGGGTGTGGTGCAACGGTGGAGGGAAGGGAAGGGAAGGGGGAGTTCCAGAGTCAGAGAAGTCGTGAATTGTCGTAGTTTGAGTTGTAGGAGTGCATTTCCGGTTGGATCTAGCAGTGCTTTTGAAGCAACCTGTTAAAGTTTGCTCCGAGGAACTCCTTGTTTCGCAGTGGCAACAACTGGGTCAGCGACGTTTTGTCTTTTCATACTTATTTGCGTGTGTGTGTGTGAGAGGGAGTAAGTGAGGGACGGGCGGTCTTGGTTTGGCTCGTCTGGTTTTTGTTTTTGTTGTCATGGGGGGTACTTTAGTTTGGAAGTAGGGGTTGCAGGCACCAGATTTTGCTGTTTGAGAATCGTTAAGAGTGAGGAATTCGCAAGACTGGAGTTGAATGCGGAATCAGTTCTTGACTTTACTGATCCTTTTGATTTTGGAGCGGGGAGGCGGCGTTCCTGCTGCTCTTGACGAAGTTTATCTCACTCTAAAGCGAACCTGACCTGTTGAAGAGTGAAGGAGTTCTCGAAGAGGAAATGAGGCGGCCTATACATTTTTAATTGACAGCAGTCGACTGCTTGTGCTATAAATTAAATAACCTTACATCATTTTGGGTGGTTCCAAGGGTAGATTCAGTAATCCCATGCGGAAGCGGGCTGCAGTAAATCGCGAAGGGGGTACAGGACGCATGCGATAGATTGGATACAGCAGTTTGGTTTGCTTGTAAAAAACGAACCGAAGTGTTCAACCATTTCCACGATGCTCGTTGCCGAGATGGATGGTTTGAAGACTTTGAGCTGTGTAGTTAATGCAATTCTCTATCTTCCATTTTCGGTTCGAGAAATAATGTTGAACCTCTGAGGTCGACATTCCTTTATAGAAAAAACATAAGTACCGAGGGGAATCACTGAGATATATATAGTGGAATCTGAGGGCGACGTTACAGCATTGGAAGGTGTCGACTTGGATAGTTACAGACATCTGCGATTAGTGCAAGATGCCGATTTCAAGGTAGATGATGGCTAGTGGTTTGTGAAGCTGGTTATAGTAATGAATTTTTTGGGAGCAATCTTACGTCCTGGATTGAAGATTCCAGTGTTCAGAATATTTTTACGGTGCTAAAGTGGTGAACAGCTGTAGCGCCAAGAATTTGAAGGAACTTGGACATCTCCATGAGATATTGCTCAAGCGAAAGGCTTCTTGTTCCTCACTGTTCGACCAACATCTGAGGACTGCGCATAGGTCTTCAGGCAACTCTTTTAAGGCTCATGCGTTTTCCTTACTGCTGTTGATTTCGAGGAAGTTGTGGAAACTACAAGGAGTGGGATACCATGCTGGTTTTTCCTTAGGTAATAGGCGTTCTTTAACACTAGGTACTGATAGGATGGAATTGTGGACTTCTAGGGATATCTAACCTAGCTGAAAAGAGCTATGCGTACTATTTATTCCGAGGTGTTCTTTTCAGCAGAAGTTTGAACTTGTGCGTCGTGTTACGTCAAGTAATTCGGCATCACAACCAGGTGTGCACCTTGATTTAGTGTTGCCAAGGGCTAGACCTGGGTCATCTTTGTACCGCAGAAGACGAAAGGCTTTCTGTGTTAGTGACGTTTTGGATCTGTCGAAAGGTATCTTCTGGGCAGTATGGCGACTCTATCTAGTTGGTGGCAAGAGTGTTTGACCACGATTGGCAGGTCTTTGGCCTATGTTTTACTGTGCGTGGTTCTCATCTTCATCGGCCTTATCAAAGGTAGTGGGCAGCTTGTTCGTGACGTAGTAGATTTTAGAGAATTATTTTGTTCTTTTTTTGGATAAGAAGGTGGTTGTTTTTAATTCGTTGACATGTTGTATTTACACAGCGAAATCTGTCTCCGAATTCTATGCTTATAGCGCAGAGTTCATTTGAAAAAAAAATCATGTATTTGTATGTATGATTTTTTTTATATTTTGAAATTATTTACATATATATATGCCGCCGTTCACTTTCTGTTACGGAACAATATGTCGACAATGCTGTTTTGGAATGTTTGCGCATTTTTTTTCCAGAGCTCTTTACCGGAAGACACTGACATTAATGAGCTGTTGCTCTCGAATGTGAAGGAATATTTGTGGGAATTGCCGCAGCCATCGTGATATTTGTGGGGCACTCATCAGTAACTATTTTCTTGTGGCCGGTTCATGTTTACATGACATACAACACGATTGTAAGGTTGGTGTTCATCATATTCTAATCTGGATTACGGAGTAGATTTGCAGTGCCTTGCTTCTTGGAATTTCAAATCAAATTTAGCATTTGCGACGAGGAATCGCTACACAATCATTATCTGATGAATGAAGTGAACTGAGCTGTACAAAGCCTGGTGGCTTACATGGTGCTTCCTTGTGGCAGGTCCAAAAAGCTTGGTTTGGTTTTGAAAGTCCTCTCTCTTTTCGTTCTGCCAGTTCCTTTATTACTCTGGCCAGTGCTGGTGGCTGTTGGAAGTGTACTTGTCGGATTAGGGTATGGCTTCGGGACTCCTTTAGCTGCAACCTTTGAGGCCGTTGGAGAGCATAGGGACTCCAAGTTTTATCATGCATTTGCGGTAAGATTTAGTTATTCCCTCTGAATTGTTTTTATAACAATCGTCTTTTTCTAGGACATGTATTCATGTGTCATCTTCCTTTCAATATCTTCCTTACAGTCCTTTTAGCATGGCCCCAGTGGCGTTCGCAGGACGTGACGACAATTTTATATTCTGGCTAGAACATATAGCAGAAATTGCTATCTCTTTGAATAGTTCACCTTTTTTTAGGCAGTTCAATCAGTTTGCAAGTATAATTACTGTACTTATAGTTTTCTGTAATTTTTTTGTCTAAAGTCAGCGACCAAGTGTAGCAACTTAGTTTGTTTCAATATCTCATGTCTTCCCATACTATATTGTAAGCTTAAGTTGGAGGTTTACGTCTCTTCATTCTTGACATATTCAATTCAGAATTCAGTACATAATTGGTTGAAGTCTGCCATTAATTATCAATATAATTATTTGAAGGGAATCTGGGGCAACGACCTTGATGCTATGTTACTTCCTGTGTAGGATGGAACTTTGAGCACGTTGATCGGTTCCTGCACTGTCGTCCGAGACTTCACAGACCTCTGCCTTCATTCTTATTGTGACTATCTTGATGATTTTCGCACCAGTGAGCCGAAAGATGGCAAGCCTTTGGATATCAAGTAAGCTAATCACATTCTATTGGTTTAGGACAATTAGTCAGGGCGTTCAACGTGTTCCATAATACTTTCATTCATTGTATGTCCTTACTGTAACAGATTTTGATAGCAGATTTCTTTACCACCTGCTGCCGAGTTACGATATGAAGTAGCCGATGTGACTCAGAAACTGATCTTGTGTGCCGCCAGGTTGTTGGAACTACCAGCGTGTCTGGCTGTAGCAGTGTTGGGATTGATAGCAGACACTCCTCTGATCACCTTAGTAGCGCTAGCCAAGAGTCCCTTCTTGCTGTTCAAGGGATGGGGCCGACTGCTTCACGACGTAATAGGACGTCATGGTGCCTGCCTGGAAGCTGCATGTGTCCCATTTGCCGGGTTGGCTCTTCTGTTATGGCCTGCCGTGGTGGTAGTATCCGTTTTGTTGGCCATCGTCTCGAGTCCCGTTTTGGGGCTCTTTGGGGCTGTGGTTGTCTATCAGGTGAACACTTAGGTGATTGATCTTAAGTTTTAGATTTAGAATCCTTATTTAAATGTGAGTTGATTCCTGTTAATGCATGCAGTGTGAACTTGAATGCTAGTGGGAAATGGTAAATTTTGTACTTCGTTTCTCTTGTTTACTTCTCCTTAATCGGTTTTGCTGACTGGGTGTAAATTCAGGAGGACTCGCTGCGATGTGGTCTGGCTTACATTGTATCGATAGTGGCTATGTTTGACGAGTACACAAATGATGTGCTCAACTTGAGTGAAGGATCTTGCTTACCAAGGTAATTCTCCAAAGTCCTGGTCGCACAAGAGTTTATAATGCTCGTGTGAATATTGAATTGCAGGTGCTATGTTTTCAGCCTGTATTACATATGGTTTTTTTGATGTTCACTTGCTGTTGTACATCAAAGTGTAATGGTTGTCTTCTTCTGTTTGAATCAGGCCTCGGTACCGGAAGGGGATCCCAAAATCTGAGGCAATGCCTCCTGGCTCTTATGTATCACCTTTGTCACCTGACAATGCTACCTTCCGCCCAACTGCAGTCCCACAATTGACGGCATCACGTTCCCTTCGGCATCAATTGCAAGAAGTCAAAATCGTTCAGGTTGGTTTCAAGCTATGGCCATATCAATCAGTGTGGGAATTTAGTGTGAGTGTATGACTGAATGAAGAAGACATGCGAGGAAATCGCAGTTATTGATTGTGGAGTCATTCCCGTAGGTACCAGTTTTTATAGTTCATCTTACCGTTATACTGTGATTGAGTCCAGAGTCGTAATGTCGTTGTTTGTCCGTGCAACTACTTCAGCAGTACTAATCAACGTAATCTTTGCAGATATGGGACGATATGTTCAGAAATATCAACTTAAGGGGAAGGTATCTTGTGGAAGCTGGAGTATTGAATACTGCAGATCTTGATGGATGGCTCAGGGGTGGTAAGAGTCCAAAGTGGAAAGTCGTTGCATGTGGACTTCCTGCCTACTGTACGCTTCATACACTTCTCGAGTCTGCGAAGGCAAACTGCGCTGGAATTCTTCTGAGTAAGTGGCTCCATTTGTCTGCTATTTATATATACATAATGAATTATCTAACTTCGTAGTGTCGTAGGCATGGTCTATCACATGCAGCGGATCCAAGTTAATCGCATATTGTTGCTGCATTTTCATGTGACATCAGTTGTGGTTATGAGGGCAGAATTACATCATTCAGTTTTTTTGTCTCGAGGTATGTTGTAATTGTATCATACGCCAATGTCCAGTTGGAACGCTGGTCTTCAATTGTTCAACAAGACATAATAATTTCGAATTGATGATAAGTTCTGATGTGAGGAGTCTTGTTCAATTGGCAGGTGATGGCACAGATTTGACAATGGCTAACAGACCTCAAGAGCGTATGCTTGACTGGTTCTTTGAACCATTATTGACTTTGAAAGAACAGCTACGACTTGCAAATCTGACAGAGGTTGAAGAGCACTACTTGGAAAAGCTGGTGTTAATGGTAGGAGACACGCAACGAATGTTGGATTGGGATAATGGGGGAGTCGAGCCTGTAAATGACATCAGGAGAGGCGAGCTGCAAGCACTAAGTCGTCGGTACTTACTTCCACTCTTTTCGCCTTATGTCTTAGTTAGTCAAGTATGTTACCCACTTTGTGGGTTCAAAATGTCTGAGATCGGGTACCTGTAAGAACCCTTTTGGAGAGGAACAACTTTCTCCAGTTGTCGAATATATTTGCATTTGATGAATCAGTTGACATGGCACTTGTTATTTCCTATTCAGGATTTCGTTTGGTCATAGTGGCCCTCACTTCTCTTTTAATGGTTGTTCATCATTCAAGTTTCTTACTCGTTGTTCCGATTGCAGATTGCAAGGGATTGCTACAGCAATTTCTAGACTACCAACATATCGTCGCCACTACAAGCGGTTTATCAAGAATTTGCTTCTGTATGCTTTGGATCGATTCAATACTGATATCTCCTCTAGTTCATCAGACGAATCTCTAAGGTTTGATCGGACTCCTGAAAGTAGTGGTTCAGGTTCATTGCAAAATATCGCAGTGGAAAACAATATTGTTTAAGAGCCAGCTGTAGAAACTTACTGTAGGAAACCTGTACATGAATTTTTTGGCAGCCACCTGTATGCACAACGATGGTAGGAAGATATTTGGCCCTGATCCGTGAAAGGCTCCATGGAGTCTGAGTTTAGTAAATTGCACTCAACATATGCTTTTCCCTTAAACCAGCTTAGTGAACGAGGTCAACCTCTGATTAGAGGTTGCAAAGTCTGCGTGATAGTAAATGCGCTCATAACCTTGCAGAACAATTTTGTGAGATTTCATTATCACTTGAGCCAATCCTTATCTCAGTCCATTCCTATTGTATTATGATATTCTTAATGGATGTCTCCTTCTTACATGGCCTTGTGATGCTAGCTCTTAAAAACTCCAAACCTGTCTGTGGTCATTAGAAGCTTGAGCTCACTCCATTAACAAAGTGGGTTGTCTTTAGATTGCATCGAAGATTTTTATTGCAACAAGAGTTAATTGGTCTGACCACTCTCACTCCTTCAATATCTATTCTTTACAGGAAGAATGTGTGCATTGTATTAGTAGTGCAGATGATTTCTTTTTCATTTCTATAAATAACACCTAAAAAACCATCATGGACGTTAGTACTTTTAAGTATATTTCAGTATTTTTAGCATATTAGCAAATTACAAACACCACAATATGTAACCTCTTTAATTCTTTTTAATCTTATTTTCAAAGTAACTTTTATATAATAACAATAATAATGTATATAAAATGAGTTTCAATTATATATTTATTTTAGTATAAAGGTTTCAAAATAAAAAATTCGCAATGATTTTAGAAATAAATATATGTAAGTTTTTGAAATTTTCACTCATATAGGTATAAGAATATTTTCACACTCATAATAATATCTTGTGAAAAAACTTTTTAAAAGCTTCATAGTTGTAGATTTGATTTTATATGTATTTGTAGATGATTGATAGGTTAGAAACTTAGCCAACAAGGTAGCTATGTGCTGTTCATGTTGGTGACTTATGGTATAAGTTGGCCATGTAATGCACATGTAAAAAACTTGTCTTACAAGTTAAACTTGTGTCATGTAAGTTAAATACATATCATAAGTCTTGTAGAATGTCACCACATAGTTTTTGGTTAAATAATATATATGGACGCAAGAATGAAGCCTTCTTCATTCTTGTCAATGCCTTTCTTGTTTTTAGTCTTATTTTAAGGATCTCTAGTATTCTTGTCTTTGGCAATAGCCATTCTAGTTTTAATATTATACTATCTTTGAATGATTTTTTTACTTTTTTTTTTTTTTTTTACTGACTAAAGAATATATTGATTTTTTGATTATTTATGATTCATGTCCTTGAAAATTTAACAAGAATGTTGATTTATTATTATTATTTTTCTTTTAGAAGTAAGTAAATTACTTCATTTTTTTATTATATTTTGAAGGTTGCAAATCTTCTATTTTAAAATTAATATATTTTATTTTTTAATATTAATTCTTTCTTTAAAGAAAATGGACTATCTATTGTTGTGAATATTTTTATTTGATATTAGAGGTTATGAATAATCCTCTTTTAATTTGACTTATAGATTTGTTGAAGTTGTTTATTATAGAATAGAAGGAAATATTATTGATGCTACACTATGTAAGTAAGAATAAATTTATAAGTATCACAGATCTTCATGAGCTTCTCAATACTCTTAAGGTAGAAATTTTATGCATTATCAACATCAATTATAGAAGTACTATTTCTATGCCTATAAAAGAAATCAAGAATGAAGTTCAATGTCTATACTAAAAAATTGTGCAATTGAAAGAAGCAAGTAGATCAACTTCAAAATTGAATTTAAAAAATCTTACTACTACAAGTATGAGGAATATAAAGATTAATATACTAGAGAATTTTAATGGAATAAGATCAAAATTTTGAAGATATTTACAACAAGTCAAATTCTATCTAATGTTACATCTTTTTTAATATCTTTATGGATTTAGCCATATTGGATTTATTACTGCTCTTCTACCTAGAAGTCCTTTCTTTTGATTTGCATCTTTGATGGAAAAGGATTCACAACTCTTATGTAATCTAAATTCATTCTTAAAAGTGATATAGCCACATTTAGAAAAAAATAATCAAAAAATGGTAGTAGAGACAAAATTCCTATCTTAACAGCAAGAATCACAACTAACTATCATGTATGCTTCTATATTCTAAAACTTTACTTGCAACGTGGATTGAAATGATAAAAATCTTATTAATTAATTTTAATATATATTAAAAGATAATATCAATTGCATATTATTAACAATACTAAAAGCAAATTCATTGGAATAATTTATTGTTTAATTTATCATGTACAATAGCTTAAGCAATAAATTTTTTCAATGAATTTGCTACTCAATGTTATTCAAAAAAGCAATACAATTAGAAAATAAGAAGCATGGTTGCTAAAGAAGACATTGTATTAGAAAATAAGTTTATCTAGCTACAATAGAGATGATGTAGTTGGAATCTTATACAACACCTATTAAATATTATATTTTCTCCTCAAAGCCTTCACCGTATTTTATAATAGATATTTATTTAATATTAAAAAAAAAAATCAAAGCCTTTTCCTTCTTAAATTTAAAAGTCTCAACTTCTTTTATAAACAAAGAATGAAGAATTATCTTTAACAAAAAAAACTAATTCCATACTTATAAAAGTTGTAGATGGTAGTTTTTTGTCTTTTGAAGATGTTTTCTATAAGTCTATAATTTTAGATATAGTAATTAATAAGTATAATAATAATAATATTTATTGTTATTAAATCGTCTTTTAATTTAGTTATTTTAAGTTTATCATAGCTAGATATTTTGGACATCTATATTTATCTATATAAGAAGTATCAAGTAGAAAATAAATGTAGGTAGATTTAATAATATCTTGTATCTAAGCTTCTTAAAAGCTTCATAGATGTGTGTGAGTCATTGAATTGACTTACTTGTTATTTTAGGATAAAAATATACATTCACAATGCTTTAAATCACAATATATAGTGAGTAGTGTAGAAATCCTTAGAGAAATAGAAAATTAGAATGTTAGTAGTAGAAATGGAGTCTTAGTAAGTCTTGGAGGAAATTATCTTCATTGCTTTAGTATTTTTATTCATTGTTGAATACTAAGTATTATTTATTAAGACCAATATTTATATTGGTCTTCTATCTATATGTACTACTTATAAAAACTATAAATGTTAGTAGTTAGAAGAAGCATGAGAAAGAATTTCATGTCATTTTAGTTATTGATATAAAAAACAGGATTTATAGTGGATTTAAATTGATATTTATTATTATCAAAAACAAATAAAGTAGAAAATATAGCCTTAAATGAATATTAGTATTACGGAAATATTATAAGATTTTTCAGAATTTATTTAGAATTGATGTAGTATTTTTTAGGAATGTTTAGAGCAATTTTCAAGATCTTGGTAAAAATGAGTTTTACTACTTTAGAAGCCTTTATGAAGAAATAGAGTAAGATTTGAAGGCCACATTGTGGTGAGGTCAAAAATATTCCTAAGCTAATTGGATGTTTTTGAACATTGTGGTGAGGTCAAAAATGTAAAAATGTTGGTCCTTCTAGTAGAATATAGGAAGACTACTAGCTAGTATAGTCCTTATAGAAAGAGGGGTGCACAAGTCCCATATGGGTTGTAGCACCTTGAAGGTAGTTAGTAGGATAAGACTAAGGCATCGTGGCCTCTTTTAGAAACCCTTACACACTACATGTGAGCCTTGGTGAGGCTTGAACCCTTGATCTATAAGCAAGTTATCCTTGAGGTAAAATATTTTCATTTCATTTTTTAATTATTTATTTCCTATCTTTAAATCTTCATAACTTACTCATAGTAATTCGGATTTATATGTTTCTTATGTTATTGGAAAGATAATAAAATTATCTATCTAAAAATATATTTTTTATTTTGTAATTTTATTTTTTATTAGATAAAAACACAATGAATAGATTGTGACTTAATTTTGAGTGTTATAATTACTTGATTTCATTTCTTATACTTGTATTGTGGTTGTTCTTTTTGGTTTTTTTGCCAATTACGTACTTCACTTGATACCACCAATTACAAACAACTCTTAATTGAGGCCATCTTGTAATTAGGGTTGAAGAGTGAAATTTACACTCACAATGTGGATTTGACTTGAGACATATTTCTAGTTGATTGATAGATAAGAAACATGGCCAATAAGTTAGCCATATATTGCATATGTATTGTAACTTCTCTTGTAATTTAGATATATATCAAAGGTCTTATAGAACATCACCATGTAGCTTTTAATTAGATAGTATATATGGAGGAAAGTGTAAAGTCTCTTCACTATTATCAATGCATTTTTTTTTCTTAATCTTATTTCAAGAGACTCTAATCTTTTTGTCTTTGATAATAGCCATTTTAGTTGAATATTATACCATCTTTAAGTAATTATCTATTCTTTTCAAGTGATATAAAAATGTATTGATTCTTTGGTTCTTTAAAATTCATATCCTTGATACTAAAAAAATATAATCTTTAAATAGATTTAATTTCTTATGAATTTGATTTTTTTCATAATATATTCTTATTTTTTTATTTAATTAAAAAAATATAAATCTTGTACAACTAAATTATTATTAATAGGTGCAAGAGCTTTTATTCATATTAAAAAAATAGGACCATATTTTTCTATTTATATTATAACTTTTTTTGATGGCAAAAAAACTTCAAATAGCATCATAAAATTTATCAAGATGTTTTTGAAAAGAAAAATATAAATATTCTTTCAAAGAAATGTTCTTATAATTATTCAATTGATTTTAAAGAAGGATCTCAAGAGCCTTTTCAACCAATCTATAGCTTATCAAAAAATAAATTGATTATACTTAAGTAATACATTAAATTTTTTTTGACTAAGTCTTTCATATGACATTCAAAATTTCTAGTAGGATCTTTTATTTTATTTGTGAATAATAAAGATGGATTACTTTAGATGCATGTGGATTATCAAAGACTCAAATAGATCATCATCAAGAGTAAGTACCTTCTACTTTTGATATCAAAACTTCTTAATTAATTAAATCAAGGAAAGATCTATACAAAAATAAATCTATAAACAGCATACAACTTAATTATCATATATATATATATATATATATATATATATATATATATATGATGATATTCATTTAGATAATATGAATAAGTAGAAATAGGTAAAAATAAATAAATTTGATAATATCTTATAGAGTAGCTTTTAGAAGCTTTATAGATGTAGTTTTATCTTTATACATTGTTGGATGGCATGATTTCCTATTTAAGAATGTATTGGATA